ACATGACCTTTCGTACACTGCCATTGCATTGGAGTATTGACATTAATGTATTCAGTAGAGATACATAGCCCATTTTTGCTACGAGCTAGGTGCTTAGCATGTTCGATAGTAAGAGGTCTATTAACTGCGCAATGTGGGCACCATCTCTTACCGTATTTAATATTACGAAGAGTTGCAGTCCATTCATGACTGTTTGCACATTGCCATTGCATTGGGATACTAGCATTAATATATTCAGTAGAAACACATGTTCCACCACGCTCTTTAGCAATTGCAAAAGCATTATCCAATGTCAACCTTTTCATTGATTCTTCAATGAAAAAATCAAAACTTTAATTACCAGATAATGGAAGCCAAACTGATAATATCACTTGTGATCATGAAGAAGAGAATAATCTCCGGGTCATGAACGAACTTAAAGTATTCCACCAGCATCTCCTTGATTATAATAAAAGAACTTTCGAAAAATTCATACAAGACATAGAAAGGGAATATAGAGAGCGGATTAGTATGAATAAGAAATTGCGATGTGAAAATGAGGATCTGAAGATGCAGTTGCAGGAGGCGGAAAAGGAGCTGGCATCTATGAAGTTAGATTCTTCTCATTAGTTGGGGGTACTTTTTTCCTTGTATTTCTGCAAAGTAAGATCCTGGTCAAGATCATGCGCTTTTTGAGGATCTATATAAATAACCGGTTCTCCCATCTTTCTATATAATCACGAAAAAAGAATGGCATTTCGGAGGCCTCATCCAAGACAGAGAAGAACATGTGAAGAACATAAAGCTGAGCTGGAGGAGGAGAACTATCATCTTCGTAGTGAATTGCAGACAGAAGTTGATATTAACCGCCAGAATGAGAGACGAATTAATCAACTGGAACAGGATTATGCCCGATGTGAACAGGAAATCCAAAATCTTAATAGGGAAATAGAGCGTCTCGAAAATGCTTCAGAAGAAGAGATAGTAGAGTTGAAATCCGAAATATCCAGCCTAAAAAGTCAGCTATATCAAGCTAAGAAAGATGTGCGAGATAAAGAAAAGTATATCTCTACTCTAGAAGAGCAATTAGTGGAATCCGAGGAGCAGGTGGAAAAATTACGTTCTCGGATCAAGACCATCTCATCACGGAAAAATTCGCCCGAACGAGGGAATTCTCCAGACTTGTATAATTCTGATGATAATATGGCAACAATTGCTGAGTTGGTAGATGCCATAGATGGCTTTGTGGATAATAGAGCAACAACTAGGGATATTTTGATAAATCAAATAAAAGGTGCAACAAGGCAAATTCGCATAAAAAATAATAATCTGCAACGGGATTTAAGAGAAGTAAGGCGAGCTCGTACTCAATTGCAAACTGATTTAACTCGAGAGCAACGGAGGCGTTATGATGCAGAGGCAGAAAGGGATAATGAAATTATACGAAGGCAACTTGCTGAAGGGGTGGAACAAAGGGCTATTGCTGACCTTCATCAGTATCAAACTAATGCTCAAAACCAGGTAAATAGAATGATAGGTAATATAGTAAGAAAGCAAACGCGTATAGGTGGGCTGGTACAAGAAAAATTTGCCTTACAATTATTGTATCAGAGAAATGCCCACCATCTACAGAGATGCAGAGGGGACATAGGTTTATTAGAGTATAATCGAGATAGGCTCTATGAGCGATATGAGAAATGGAAAAATAAGACCCATGCTGAGCACCAGAATATTTTAAATTTGCAAGGACAAATTTTGGCGCTACAGAATAATCCACCAAATCAAATAAACATGGCATTACCAGCAGGATTTCAGATGCCCGAATTATGTAGCTTTGAACAAGATCATGAGGATTTTGCAGATAACTTTATAGCATATATTAATCTAGCAGGTATAAATGATGAAGCAAGAACACTCAATATACTGGATCGATCTGTAAAAGGAGAAGTGCGAGAGTGGTATCATAGAGAGTTTGATAACAAAAACTGGGAATTACAGAATGTGTTAGATAACTCTGCTATAGGTGCAGGTATAGCAAATATTCGTGGGGCTAATGCAGGAGCTATAACAGGTGCGGTTGCTTCTTTTCCAAATGTTCCACTAGGTCTTACAGGAGCACAAATTATTCCAGCCCGAAATGTTGCTGAAGATTAGACAATAGCTGGAGGGCGACCAACTAATGCAGTACCAGTTACGCCAAATGCTGGAGGAGGTATTCCAATTATTCTTGCAGGAATTCAGTCTGGACAAAGGTTACATAGGATTAAAAAGTATTTTCCATCCGCTAATAGATATATAAAGATGCTAGAAATTGGGGCATTAAAACAAGGACCACATGAAAGTTCATCATCTTTCTGGGCAAAAATTCAGAAATATGGAGATCATTTAGGTTATACTGATAAACAAAAGAAAACGCATTTCATATCAGGTGTTAGAGTAGATATTAGGGAAGAAGTTTTTAGAATCGGTCAACACAGACCTATTGCTGATATCCTTGATAGTTTGGCAGATATTGAATTACGTCAGGGGGTACTAGAACCATCACTATCATATTCTAGCTATTCATCCGCCCCTTCTGCTATTTCCAATAATGCGTCTCAACAGCAAGGAATTTCTTTAGTAGATGTTCAAAAAGTAATGCAAGATGCACTAGTTCAGCAAAAAACTGAATTCCAGTCTTTACTTGAAAAGCAGAAAGCCGATTTCCAATCACAAATGGCCCAGCAAACTAAAAAGATACCTCCACCAGTTCCTCCTAAAAATATGGAACAGATTCTTGATACATATGAAAGCGCTAACCCTTTCCCTGATACACTTACTAGAGAAGAAATAATGAGAGTGGTCGCAAAAGCTTATGGGCCACCTCCTAAACCGCAAAAGCCAGAAAAGTTGCAATCATCTAGAATCGATAGATTAGAATCAAAAATAGATGAAATTGGTCAGATGATATCTAAGTTTGGTAGGATATCACTAAATGATCAATCACGAAAGCCTTTTTATTGCAGTAATTGTGAACAGGAAGAGCATAAGAAAAATAGTTGTCCCAGGTTAAATCCTGTAGCTAAATCCAATTTTACTCAATGTTACTATCCTCAACTTCCATCTACACAGCCCCAATATACGCCTCCAGATTCAGATAATGAGGAAGATGGTTATGACAAAGTAGAAAATGGGGTGTATTATGCACCAGAAAAAAAAAACAGTTACTAGTAAATGAAAGCTTACATGATGGCTCTATTATTCCTTCTTCCGATCTAGTAACTAGCCAACCTGAAACTTACAATCAGCTATTATCTAAGCTCTCACCACCGATACGAAAAATGTGCTTGTCTCGAAAGGCTCAGGAGGAGGAATCGAAAGAATCAGATGAGTGGTTGTCATCTTTACAATATCTGAATGCTAATATAAATGACTTAACTATTTCCGAATCTTTTTTAGATCCCGGCAGTGAGTTCGGTGGTATAAATGACCCAGCAATCAAGGCGCTTGGATGGAAGGCTGATAAACCATCTAATTTTGCCATAAAGGGCAATTCCAAGCATATCACCGATTCATTAGGATGGTATACAGACGTGCCAATTACCTTGAAGGATAAAGAAGATAAGACAGTCACAATCATTGGAAATTTTGTTCGTATCGATAATGGTGAAACAGAACCAATGCTATTTTTTGGTATGTCTAACATTCGAAAGATTCAAGGCGTTCCCGAGCCAAATAAAAACCAGTTCCGTATAAAATTACATGGAAAGGCATATATTATCCCAACCTTTAGCAAGGCTCCGGTAGTCAAGGATCCGCCAAAAGAGGAGCAGGAATCATCATGCGAAATGCCTCTCAGCTCTCAGGTTTCAGCTAATTCTTCTAATCCGACTAGTGAAGAAGACTTAAAAAAAAGTGTGAAGATCTTGAAAAGCGCCTTATAAAGACTGAAGAAATGCTCTATTTGGCCTTAAGTACCGGGAAAATTCTTGCCGATACATGCGAATCCTTATATAAGGGGAGTAGTATTAGCTGTTAAACCCTTAAGCTTTTCGCCACGATTAACTAGATTTTTAAGAAGAGATTCCACCCTATCTTCTCGGGATGTATCAGACGAATTATCAGAAGAGACCACACCATTTTTGTTATTTTTTTCCACCATACTGGTTGCTTCAGTAACTGGCTTCTCATCTATTTTAACCTTCTTTTTTCGACCATTCTTTTTTGGAATCTCTGTAGCCGGAAGGGGTATAGATGATACTTCTGATACCGATTCAAGAGTCTGTTCTGTCTTATCAGTTTGGGAATTTTTATCCAAAGCAAGCTGATCAAGCCCTTGCTGGAGGCGTTCTTTATTATCCCATATTTCATAAACACGCTTAAGTCCGATATGGAATTTTTTAGCCATTTTTCTTGGTGCACCGGGTATCTTACCTCTGGATTCTCTAATTTTCTTGATATCAGCTTCCGTTAATATGGTTGCCTTAGCGTCATAAAATGTATCATGGATACGGGCTACCATCTTCACTTGATTTTAAATACTATAAAAAAAAATATTGTTTTCAATAAATATCAATATGTATCAATATATCAATATTTGTCGATTCAATACATATTGATGCTTTTCAATACTAGTCAATGTTTTTCAATATATATTGATGCTTTTCAATGCGGGTCGGTGCTTTTCGATACATATTGATGCTTTTCAATACATATTGATGTCTTTCAATACATACTGGTGTCTTTCAATGTATATCAGTATTATTTTTTTCAATGCGCATCAATAGTCATTATATTCGCCAAAAATAATCCACTTTCTTATAAGTTTAAAGCCCGGCTGATTTTTTCGCCTAAAGTAAAAAAAAATACCAATAAAATGTCCCAGATCCGTAGCTTAAAAGATCTGGATAATGGTAATAATCTTGGAAAGACTCAAGCTAATTATTATTCTTCCAGCCGAACAGAGCTTGAAGAGCAACTTTCTTGCGCAAAAAAAGATCGTGAAGTAGCTATTTATTGGGGAAGTCAGTTTGCAGATGAATA